CTGATGAAGCAGCGTTTGGTAGTCTGGCGACCATGGTAGCCACCCATAGTCGGCAACTGGGACTAGCCGTTAGCTGTTCGTTGTTAATTGTAAGCAATGCTCCTTGTATATTCCTTTGCCGTGTGATGTTCACGTAGTTCTTCCATTCTCCTATCTATACAAACAATAATATAATATCTTTTTTTTTCTTTTTTTTTTTACTGTGTACCATGGTCTTTAATAAAGTATTTTTAAGGGAAAAACAAATTTCATAATTATAAATATTTGCTCGACACAGAAAGGATTTCATTTGATTTGCTGCACGAAGTGAAGAAGAGGAGATATCCCATAAGGTATACATGTCATTCTTGAACAACCTCAAGAGCCGAGCTGATATCTTTCGTCCTTGCTTGTAGGCTGTTCTGGCTGGTTCAGGAAACGATAATAATACTAAAACTTAAATTGGTATTGATATGCAATGTTTTTGTCGAACCTCATGATGGAACAGCGCTTATATTCGAATATTATATTGCGTTGTATTAACTGTTTATCAACGGTTCTAACGTAATTGCAGTGACAATGCCGGCATGCAGATTTTATTTTATGACATTTCTACTGAAATGTTTTGGTTATGTTTTATTAACATTTATTAAAACTTAAATCTAATTATTAAATGTATATGTTTTTTGAATTGTATATTGTGAATTGTATATTGTGTGTTGTATATTGTTTATTGTATATTGTGTATTGTATATTGTGTATTGTATATTGTGTGTTGTATATTGTATATTGTATATTGTGAATTGTGGATTGTGTATTGTGACTTGTATATTGTGGATTGTGTATTGTGACTTGTATATTGTGATCTGTGGTTTTCGTTTTCTTGAGTTTAAGTGTGTTTTCTCTTTTCTTTAAACTACTTTTACATTTACTGAATATTTTAGTACGTTGAGTATGCTATTTTGCATTCCATGGACACTTATAAGGATGGCATTCTACTGAATGGTAGGTATATTTATTGCTATGGTAAGTATATTTGTGCTTTTTTTGCTTTCGTGTCTGTCTTAATTGCTTGACGTTACAACTGACATTGAGCCACAATTTAAATTCATATACAAATGCACAAGAAATCAAAAAATATGTATATAAATTCTTCTATATTCCTCTTCAATGGTTCCACGCAGACAATATGCTTTCCGATGTCATTGCTATTTTTTCTATAATCGTAGTTATTTGATCTTATGCAAATATAAGATCTGATTTCGAATTTTTATTTATTATTTTTTCTTTGATTTTGAGTAAAGCTGATATAATTTGTTCCAAATACACCGGAAAAGTAATTTGTATATAACAAAGCCAAAGCCTTAAATGAACGATCCCACCATCGATAGACCCATAAAGCACAAGTAAAAGGATGCACGAATTATGGGTTGGGATGATCGAATAAAGTAGAGGATTATGTTAAAAATAGCGAAAAGAGGACAGTAATAAACACTCTGGAGAAACCATAGAGGAAAAATGTGGAAAAATAGAAATGAATATTCTTTTTGTTCTTTGCAGCATTTGTATATGGCTATACTGTATGTATTTCAAGTTGAATTTATGTAAGTATGTAATTGTATATTGATGTGTATATAGTATATAGTAAGTATTAGTCCGGTCGTACTTAACTCTTCTAGTTTCTTCTACGCTCTTCTGCTCTCTTCTATGCGTCTTATATTTGAGCTGTGCTCTGCAGAACACACAAAAAAAATTTATTAGCTGGTACTTTCGCCTCATGATATCATTTTTGTTATTCTTATCTCTTGTTGAGTATGTTAAACATGTATATTTTTTGTAAAGAAGCATATTTTGTAGTTTTTAGTTTCATTTTCACATATGCGCTATTTGGTAGGTAAACAACATTTAGCACAGTTATTTTTTTTGTATTTTTTTTTTCTAGGTACACACATTATTTTTGAGACATTTTCACGTGCTGCAAGTTTTTGGGAATTTTTTGGATTTTTTGGATTTTTAGCTTACATTATCTTCGACTAACTAATTAAAATAGTTGATAACTTAATAAACATGGACTAGGCCAGGACAGTTCAGAATTGCAGAAAGTATTCTCATCGATTTCGTTTTATAATAAATTGATTTTTATCAACTAGACATAAATGTAACTTAATGTTATACAATTAACATATTATAATTAATTTAACAATTTTTTCTTCGTCTTACGAAAATTATCCTTGTGTCACAAAAGTTAAAAATCAGAACTTGCACGCACTTAAGTTCTACATTCAATAGATATAAATACATATATATATAAATATATTTAGTTGTATAAATTCAAATATACCGGCTTACATAAATATGATTCATGAATCTTGATTTTTTTTATCGTTGTTGGTTTTATGGATTTTTGATGATATTGATATAAGTATACAAGAGAACAAACAAAAGTTTTTTATGGCCATAAAGTAAATAAATGTATAAATTGATTTAAAATTATACCTAACTTATTAATACAAATCCATGATTAATATTTTAGACACTTGACTAATGAATAATTTCTTTCCAGCTTATGCTGCCTTTTAGGCTAAGCTTTTACTCGTGAACTACTTTATGTATCACCTCAGACACCTCAAACATCGTATGTACGATATCTTAGAACTGCCTACATGGCTCCTTGCTTGTTTCTGTATTTTAGATTATGTAATCTTTGGCTCTCTAGTAACTCCTTTCTCTGACTTCACGCTTGGTGGTTTATCAATCATTTATCAATCTTTATCGTCATTAATCGTCTGTTTACCTCACTTGAAATTCTCTGCCGTCTGCCGTCTTCTGTCTTCTGTTTGTCTTTTCTTTATCTGCTTTAAGCTCATGTCATTTCATCAGTTCATTCGTCTTACATCGCACTAAGAATATCCCATCCGATTGCTTTTAGTCCTTAAAGGACCAAAGTCGGACAGCCTTAGCTCATCAAGCGACCAATATTTAAATTCTTTTGTTTTCAATCATTAAACCTGTAATGAATATTGAATCCCAAATATCAAATCAAATATTATAAATTATTTGTACATTTTAGAAAACAAACCACATCTGTATGAATGTGCACACATCGTGTTTTTACATCTCTATAAAAAATCATTAACCATCAAAAAATATGCAATTAGTTAAATTGAATTACATCCATTCAAATCTCTGCCATTAAAAAACAACAAATAATAACTCTTTGTGGTAAACACTCATGTATATTGCAGAGTCAACTGCGATGAATCTTCTCATTAACTAAAGTTTCTTGTGAATTTGAGAAGGCGATGTTGACTGTATGCACTCTGAAAAATAAATGTACAATGATCGATGTGATGTACTTGTGATTTAACCACTTTTTCAATTTGGGAAAATAATTTTGAAATGATTGCTTGCTCTGGAGTACATTTTTTTGTGTTGGTAATGAAGTACTTGAAAACAACTGGAATTTGGAGCGAAAAGCGATATAAAGTAAGACTCTGTATGTAATTTTGTCAGTTTTTCTGTTCGTATGGTATTTGGTGTATTTCTGTTAGGTATTATAATTAATTATAATGCGGGAATTGTTTTGAAGTTAGGACAAACAAGGCGAATAACTCTATATGTGTATGTGGTAAAATGCGCAAGACTTTGGCATTCGGGTAGGTAGTATTTGGTGGACAGTAGCGGGAATTGTGTTAAATGTGGGGCAAACGCGTCGAATACATTTGTAATCATTAAGTGTTTGGATGACAGTTGGGTATGCAGGGGAGCATTAGTTTGGGTCGAAGATGGGCGTCCAATGTTAGATGGTATTGTTGGTGATATGATGATAACGGAATAGACCATTGGAACACCCCCAGCATCTTGGATGATAGGGCCCTTAGACTGGGTCAAAGAAGCGCGTTGGCGAAACAGGGGATGAACACCGGCAATTTACGCTGTTGGAACGTCCAATGCCGGATGTGGTGGTGGTGATATGATGTTTACGCATATTGACCTTTGCGAAATGGACCATTGGCATGTTCCGGGTGATTTGAGTGCTCTATGTGGATGGTGGGGCAAACTGGATTACAAACAGCAGCGGTGGCCGTTGCTGGCGGACTAGCACTCACCTCATCCACCTGACGGCGGAACAACTTGCTCTTTACCCACGGCCAGTTGAAGGTGCGCAACAAAGTGTTGCGAAAGTCCTCGCTAAACAAACAATATATATAGAAAGTGATCGAGTAGTTGATGAGTTCCAATAGATTGGCAAGGGCCCGGAAAACCTGAAACGGGAAGCTGGGCAACACTTCCGAGGCGATCGTCATGTGAAGGATTGCCATTGGTGAAATGCAAAGCAAAAACAGGATCGAGGTGCTTCCGAGCAGCAAAAAGAGTCGCCGCTCCTCTGCAAACTTGCGTGGATCTTCGTTCTTCGCATAAATGGCTCGGGTCAGAACCATTTGGCGACGCCGGGCGCAGGTGCGACGATAGACCCACATAATACGCAAGTTGAGACCGGCAATTATGAACGTGGGGATGATCTTAAAGATAATCTCCACCAAGACCTTGTACACCGAGTAAAAGAGGGTTTGCTGATAGATGATGTTATCCCGACGCAAGTACACGTAAACATTCTTCGAAGTCAGCATGCACTTGATTAGCTCACCTCGAAAAATACTCGGCAAGTAGAAGATGAAGGTGAGGACACAAATAATAAATATAACAACACTGCAACGAAACATTAGCCAAACATTAGTTGCATCCTCCACAATGCAACTGCGTTCAAAATACTCAAAATACTCACCCAGGTTGACCTATAGCAGGCCGCGTGGCTCCTGGGCGGCAAACGGAGACATAGCGCTCAATGGTAAGCACCAAGAGCATCATAACACCGACACCTGCAAATTCACGAATAATATAATATATAGATTTTCTATCGACGATTCTCATGTACAACATGTTGTACACATAAACAAATAATACAATGCTTTATTTGTGGACAGATTGCAGATAAGCTTTCGAGTCCCTTGAGAGCGCCAAAGCTTTTGTGAAAGAAAGCTGGATTTGTACTTGCCCAAACATCCATTGCCAAGGAAAAGCTCCAGATGTGCGGTGTAGAATGCCGGCCCGATTTCCTCCCACTGTCCGCGATCCTTGTGCACCAGCATGCGTATGCCAAATGGTATTGCGAAGACAATGGCAAGCAGTGCGGCTGTGGAGTAGGCTGCGAATGGAAAACGGCAAATGGCAAAAACGGTGTAAATTTAACATTAAAGCAGTTTTATGGCTGAGTTTATGGCATAATTATGGCGTCGCTTCAGACTGGCCGCGACAGGAAGCGAGTAAAACTGAAACCGGCAAACATTCCCTACTTCAACATGAATAAATGGCTCTCAGTTCCTGTTCTCCTGTTCCTCTCTGCTCGCTACTCTTTGGTCCTTGGACGCTTGTTTGCCTAATTTTGCGTTCCGTTTTCGGCATAAATTTTATGTTTTTTTTTTTTTTTGATATTTTGGCTTTTGCTTTGTTGAGATATATGTAATTTCCACTTACTGCTGAATGCGAATGCGAATCCGAATGCGAATGTCTGTGTGTGTGTGTGTGTGTGTTGTTTATTGATTTACGACTTGCTTATGGCTCTATAATTACGTTATTACTTCCATGTACATATATCAAAAAATGTCTAATATGTAACAAATAAGTTAAATTAAATCGGAAATTCCCTAATATCTTAATTGATGTTTGCTAATTGTATCTAATTTTGTATGTGTATTTGTTGTTGTCTAACCAGGTCACAATATCATGTGCTGAAAATCTGAACAATGATTGGGCCAAAAGCCATAAATAATTGTTATATTTATTAAGCAAATTTTCAGATACGGTAGTTTAATATGCAGTCAATAACATTCGCCAGCAATCCCCTAGTTAACCATAAAACATTGTATCCCCTTGAAAGCTCTTAAAGCCCAAGTGCATAACTTTTGTTTAACAAACTGGCACCAAATATTAGCAGAGCGCTGCGCTGCGCTGCTCCCTTGACTAGGCGCTGTTACTTGTTACAGTTGGTTGGAGGACTTTACTATCGCACAAACATAAATACATACACACATACATACATAGAACAGAAAAGTCTGACAAATATTCGAAGGCAATGACCGACAAACGGCAGTGGCCGCCTCGTAAAAAGGCTGCTGGTAGCAAAATATTTGTGTTATTTTAATAAAATGACTGCTCTGATTTCGGTCATTATTACTCAGTCCCAAAAAGAAGAGTTCCAATTTTTGGGGCCATTTGTACAATAAGTCGAAGTCGTTTCAGGTTTTAGAGACCTGCGTTTGGCTCTGCACAGCTCTTCAACTTTTTATTTACGGCCACGCCACTCGACATGCCTTTTGAGATGAGACTGGTGATATTTCAAGCCCAACCAACAATGGCCAACAGCCAACAACCAACAGCTAACAGCTAACGGCCAAAGGGCTTCACTTTGCATTTACCCATCCAAAAAATAAAAGAAAAACGATAATAGCAAGCACGAAGCAGCAAGCAGCAAGCGGCAAGCGGCAAGTGGCAAGCATCTAGCGTTTTCCATTTTTACTTTGCAGTTAGCAGTTACCAGCTACCAGCTACCAGCTAACAGCATCAGCTAACAGCTATCAGCCGGCAGCGACCGACTCGCATCTGCCAAGCTGCCTTTTGGCAAAGCTTGCGAACGGGCGAAGGCAATCAATTATGGTGGCATCACAGCCGCAATACATTTGAAGCATTTTAAATTTTTTATGCTCGCATTTGCAGGGCTGTTCTCGTCAAAGCTAACGCTGGTATATAAATTGAGTGGCTTCAGTTCCCGACACACCCGTGTGTGTGTGTGTGTGTGTGTGTGTGTGTGTGTGTGTGTGACGGATTGTGTTAGGCATAGTTAAAGCTAACGAATTGGCAACACGCTGCTCTGTTGACAACTTTTACATCGTTTCGGGCAACTCATTAATCAATTAAAAGGCCATAAAGCAAACAAACGCCTAATATACTTAGTAAGCTACATGCTCGCACTTAACATCTTGTCTAATATATTTCAAAATATTTTTTCGTTTTTCCCCTTTTATATTTGTTTTGCTTGTGGCGTAATTCTGTCCCTTGGCCCTTCTGCTGCTGGCCCCAACTCTTCTGTCAGCTTAGCCAGCTTTACATAAATTTCCGATGGTGCCTAATCAAATACGGATAGCACAGACTGTCCACCCCTACAAACATAGATATGTCTATATAAAAGCACCCACACAAGCACACATTTATTCCCATAGAAAACGTTAGGAAATAATCAAAGGTGTTCCTCAAGTGAACAAAAAAATAATTCGAGCAGTAGTCGAAAATTTAGATTTCTTTTATACATAAATATAATACACGTCAGGTTTTGGCACTTTTCAATGTTGGATTTACTTGATTTTTTATCAATGGCCTAATGCAGCCCTCATATCCCAATACCTGAATGAATAAAAACAAACGCGTGAATATGTTTGTGTATGTCAAGTGATTATCTAGATGTAGAGTCAATATACATCTAGCGTTAGTTGTGCTCATTATTCGGTTTTTGTTGTTGAAAGCTTCTTATTTGAACATGTTGTTGGCTTATGTTTTTTGTAGCAACACTCAAGAAAGGCCAATTCCGATGTATGCAATTTAAATGTTGTATTTGAAGGGCTTTTAAGTGGATGAAATACTCTCAACACTCTAAAATTGGCAATTATTCAGTGAAATGGCCATTTGAATACAGTCAATGAAATTAAATTTCCAAGGATGGACCGAAAATAAAGAAGGAAAAAAAAGAAGTAAATTCGGAAAGGTTGTCTAGTGTTTGTTGGCCCCTGTTTGTGGCGGCTGCAGGTGACAAGGGGCAGCTTTGGACTTACCTCGCATGTAAATGTAGGACGGACCCCGCATATTGCGGCGGGTAAGAACAATTAGGTTGAGAACATTGCCAATGATACCGGAGGCGCAAATGAAGGGCAAAAAGTATCCGTAGCAGTATTGGCGCAGCAATTCGGTGCGCGGATCCTCGGCATCCTGCGATAGACAGAGAATGTATAGTAGATGTTTAACCAAGAGCTGAAGGCGAAACCAATAACGTTTAATAATAATAGTAAACAAAAAAACGGCACAGCTCATAAATCATGCAGCTTTCTCTCAGTCTCAGTCACAGTCACAGTCCCTCTCTCTCTCTCACTCTCTGTGTCTCTCCCTCTGTCTAGTTCTAGCTCTTCCTGTCCTTGGCTTGCTAGCAGCCTTCCGTATTGTTTCCACTTATTGTTGTTGCGCAGTTGGATGGCTGCTGCAGATAAAAATTCAATAGTCAACTTGACACTTTTATTTGTAACTTGTTATGCCCAAACACGCACGTATACCAAAACACACACACACACACACACACACACATTTGCCATTTTATTTCTCACTCTTTTTTATCAATTTTGCTTTGACCATTTCTAAGCAGCTATCTCTCTCACATGACTTTCTGAGTGGGCTGTAAATATGTTTTGCATGCTTTTTAGCATGTTTGCTTTACTTTTTTGCTGGTTGTTGTTGCTTTCTCCAGTTTACTTGAGTTCGCCTTATTTCGGCCTTGGGCAAAAGTTGCTCACAAAGCAGCTTTTGCATGGCTCTAGCAACAGCAACAGCAACAGCAACAGCAACAGTGCCAGCACCAGCAGCATCACCACTAGCAACAGCATTATGAGCATTCCCGGCTTGTGTGCAAACTTTTTGCACGTGCTGTGCTGTAAAATGAGTTATTTCGCTTTTGCCTTGAATGGGATTTTCATACGTTTGCCACCCAAACCGCTCTCTCTGTTTAATAAGCTATGTAAGCAAAACCATGTTGTGAGTGCGCCCCAGCAGAAGTAGGCAACAGTTTTAGTGCAGCTGCTCGCAGCAGGTGGCATGCCCCGGCAGAGCTGGCTGTTATACCTCAAAGAAGAGATCGAAAGGGCCCAGATGTCATAAGTTTTAAGTGCATTCTATTTTTTTTGTTGAGGCTCTGTCTTTTTCTTTGCACAGCTACTTCATAAATGCAATAACAATCGAGTGTTCTATCAAAGGAATTTTTGCCATACGAGCGGACATTTTACTAATGCAATTTAAAAGTATTTTAAAGAGTATTTTTATTTACTGACCAACTGCAACTGCTTTATATTTTAAGTTAATATTTTCAAGAAAAAAAATGTGGAAGCTTAAACAATTTTTTGTTCGTTTTTTTTATGTCGTTAATGACCACTTGCGAGTGCTTAATACTTTAAAAATATATTTGAAAAATCATTTTACTATTCACGAAAATGAGAATAATTGTAATAAACATAAAGCTTTTTTACTGCCGTATAATACTCACAATGCCTTACACAAAATTGAACAATGGAAATCGTGCGCCTAAACGCTGGCAATAATATTTTGCTGTCGGTTAGTTTGATTTGATTTTCTGATTATGCTAATCTAACGGTTAATGGCTAACGGCTAACGGCTAACGTCTCGTCTTACAGTCTGGGGATGCTGTGAGATATGCCACTTACCGCAAACCAGTCATCCCGCATGTCGTCAGGATACAAGGCGCTCGAGTTGGCGGCATGGCTCCTGCCGTTGCTTACGTTTGCCCCCCAGACGAATGAGCAATAGACGGGATCCTCCTCGGTGTTGTAGAGTCTTGTTATCATATTTTGCGGAGAGACCGTTATGGTGTTGACGCTCGCAGTAGACGTTAATTCTTCAAGGATCCACAAGGAGAGTCAAGTTAAATTTATGCAAGTGAGCCAAGCGTACAAAAAGGCGGCCGGTTCAAAGAAATTGCGTGTAAAAATGGCTGGCAGTACAAGCTGATGAATGAATGCTGAATGCTACCCTACTTCGCCCACCAAACCGAACCCGTGTAATTTAAATAGTAGAAAGTCCAAGAATAGAACATAAACAGGAACAGTCGCAGTCACAGCACAAAGAACGTGAAGCGACATCGACAGAGCCACCCAACGAAGTAACGGGAGTGTGAATGGAGTGGATAAGGCCCATCACAGAGTGAACTGTAACTGTAAGGTTACAAGGAGGAGAGATAAATCCAAGAGGAAGTACGATACAGTCGCGCCGAGCGGAAACGGAAGCGCTCACTTGTACACTTTGCAATAAAAACAAAGCGCGCAGCAAGAGCGGAAATAGTCGAGGCGGTTGTAGGCTGGATCCAGATAGGTGTCTCTTACCTAGTCTCGTGGTCTTTGACGTGGGGCGTAACAATTGAGGCTTTGATTGCCGTCTGCACAAACAAATCATCAAAAAATTGAAAAGCAACTCTCTGTTAAAAGATATAAAAATAAAATGCTGGAAATAATTGCGGGCTGTAAATATGTTGCAAATGAATGAAATTCGATTTGAGGAACCTCCACGTAAACAATGACATAGGCCCGGAACGAGGGGCTGCTGAACAAAGCCGTTTACGCCACTGATTGTCTAAGCTATTACTGCCCAAAAATATATATTTCTTTACAAGCAACAGAATATTACTATATTTGTTGATGTTCAGTACTTTATGGATACTTTTTGGGAATACTATGCCCAACTCAGTGGCTTGGATTTAACTGACTTTAATTGAGATTGTGCGAACTACTTATTTGGCCATTTCAATATTAAGGAGAAGTTAAAACACAGCGATCCAATTCAGCACACTAAATTTAAAAGAGTTAAAGCTATGTGGAAGAATATAAGCAATTATGTTAAACAATAATTGAATGCAATGAAGCGTATGAAGTATATATGTTTACTATTATTCAATTCAATTCAATTCAATTACCAAATATCGCTGCCCCCCGTGGCCGCAGCTTGGTAACTTTAATACAACCAGGGCTCTTGGCTGAAAGAAAACGTTAATACGTCTGCTGCAGATATTGGGCTTTGCACAATGGCTGTTGTGCTGAGCTGCGAATTTGTTTAACTCCTCCAAGAAGCGAGATTAACAGTCTTCACTGTTTGACTTAAAATTATTTTACTGTCGTCCTGTTGCTCCTGACACGTGTTGCGTATTTCACTGCTCCGAGGGCAAGCTGCAATGACAAACACCAAAAGTAATGTGCTTAGAAAACAAAAAGTACATATAAGATTTATTTTGTTTTGTTTTATCTACTGTTTGACGACTTTTTATTTATATTTTATTAAGCGACGGGACGCCCCACAGTATACTGTATGCTATATGCAGTTGCTAGAATGGTGGGGTATTGGTGAGGCCAGGGGAAGTAGGAGTTTGGACGGGTGCTGGGTGCTGGGTGCTGGGTGCTTTTGAGTTAATGCATCCCTCACGTCATGTGTCACATAATTGATGCCACTGACGTCGCACGTAGTAGTCGAGACCCTGGCAACAGGTGTGTTTTATTTTGCACGCGTGATTGCCAGCCAACACGCCCCTGCCCCGCCTACAATACACACACACACACACACACACATACACACAGCACGCTAAGCGCTAAAATCAACGTTGACAGGCGACAGAATTTCATATAAAATATTTGATAAATTGCCCAACCAGAAGTCCCTGAAGGCAGCCAGTCAGTGAAGTCAGCCAGCCAATAAGTATGGAAGGCATTAAAATATATATCGGCCAAGGACCTTCTGTGCAAATATGAAATATGTGCGAGTGCTCAGCACATCCGGCTTTATATTGATGGCCAACAGATGAGTTTTCTAGCAAATTCGCCAAGCAATAATGTGTATTAATGCAAGCATTTTAAACCTGTCTGGCTGCTAAATTTACAAAAAAATTAAAATTATAATAAAATGAAGCGAGTAATTAAATGAGATGGCCAGACAACCTGATATATACACACAATATAATAATAAAAGCAATATTAATAAATAGTATTGCCTACTACAAATATCTGATTAGTGTCTGGAATTCCCTAAGTAATTCACCTAGCTCTGATAAGGCCAAATCCCCAAACGTGGTCAACGTTCAGTTGGCAACTGTTGCGTTTTGCCGTAATCATTTCTAAATAATGTGAGCGTAATTTCTTGACTTATACGTGGGTCTCCTTGCCTCCTTGCAACATGTTCAGCTTGCACTTTTGGAGCAGCACGCGCGCGTGAATATTAAGTACGCAACACTTGCTCCCATTTGCATATGACACACATCACGCATACGCAGTGTGGTCGAGGCGATGGTAATGGCAATGGCAATGGCTGGAAGTGCAAATCTACTATCAACACCCGTCTACCGTCTGTTGTCTGGGGAGATTGAATGGCGCAAAACATGACACAAACTTAATTTCCCCAAGGCAAATATACATAAAAGCCGTTCCCACACTTACCAGCTGACTGAGTTGCTGACGGACTCACTGGTTGCCTGGTTGCCTGGCTGGCTGGCTTGCTGGCTGTACGAAAGAGTGAATGAATAGCGACTAAGCAACTTGCCGGCGTTTGCCACTCGAAAGTGCCGACAACTACCTGACTAAGAAAACCAGACTACCTCAATTCCTTGGCAAGCGTGTACTTTGACAGCATTATTTGTCGCTGTAGCAGTCCCTGTCGCAGTCGCCGTCGCTGTTCCCGTCGCTGTTGCCGACGCTGTTGCCTTCGCTGTTGCCGTCACCAGCACCGTCACCGACACCGTCGCACGCATCGACGGCTCTGGCTACGAGCAAACTGTCATATTGCATTGCCAGCTGAGAAGAATGCCGCATAATTTATGCCTGCGATTATCATAATAATTCGCCAGCCGGGACTCGACACTCGACACACACGAATGATTTGAGAAAGAGGGAGTGGGTGGCAGGGTGATTGGGTGATTGGGTGGTGGTCGGATCCGGACAAGGCCGGGCAGGTGTGGTGGGCGTTTGTCGTACGCTTGTCGTAGGCGTCGCTTGTTAGTTTTGGTTGTTGTGGCTCTGTTTGCTGTGCACTTACAATTATTGCGGTTTAGTTTCGGGCCAAAAGTTTTCATTTGGTAAATAAATAAAGTTCTGTTCGGTTTTTGTTAAAAACCCCTGAACATATCGAAGCCATCCACCTTGCTGGGCCACACGTCATTCGATCCCACATTTCACTTGTTCTCTGTCTGTCATGCTTGTGTGGTATTTTGTATCAAGCGTATGCCCTATATCTATTGAAAGTGGGCTTCAAGCTTGAAGCTGCTCAAACAGATTGCCCACCTCATCTCCCCATATAAATCTGGTATGTAAATATATATTTGAAAGGAAGACATCATTTGTTTTTTATGTTGTAGATCCTAAGCCTCGTGAATATATTTCTACTTAGATTGATGTCAGTGACGAGTCCTTGATTCTGTCATCTTGCATAATTGCACGTAAGACAGGGTATCGGCACAGTCCGGTACATTCAATTGGACCATTGTTAGTTGTTGTTTGGTAATTTGCAAATTGTTTGGCGGTCTATTGCACTGCCATTTTAGACTTCCCTTCTTATTTTTTCTACTCCTTTTTCTGTAGTTTAATTTTTTTTTGGGTCCTTTGTTTAACCAACAACCGTTTGTCATTTATGCAAACACTCACACTCACACACGCACACGCACACACACACACACACACATGCGAATGCGAATGTGAATGACGATGACTTTGCTTTTTAGTTGGAGCATGTGAGGATCGCAACAATACCAATAATAATACACATGCACAGAGGAAATCTAAACAAACGCTTAATGGACCCTCAACTCAGTCCCTCTCTCTATCTCCTTCGCTAAATTCTGCCTGCTCACTCCCAGCCCCATCCCCCTCCCCCACCCCAACACTATACCCTCTACACTCCTTTCTCTGTGCTGCTTCTCGCCTTCTGCAGCGATGTATATAGATAGAAATATGTATGTGTTTCCCTCTGGGTTGGCATGATTAATGCCTTTGTTTATATATTTCCCGCTTCGCTCTCTGGTGTGCATGGGTTTTTTTCTTTCAGTTGTGGCTTGCTTCCCATTCGTTGGGCCTGCTAACCGAATGATATGTTTAACAAAAAAGTTTAACGCAAATTAAGTCAAACTGGCAGCGCTTAACGATGTGCGACATAGATGAATATCTGTTTTGGTGTGTCCATCAATGTGTTTGTGTTTGGTTATGTGTGTGTGTTTATGTGTGTGTGTGTGTGTGTGTGTGTGTGTGTGTCTAGTGTGTGGTTGTAATTGGTAGTCTGTGCTAGTGTGCGCTGGTCTAGACAACCCACAGTGCGTGCAGTTTTGCCTGACAGCGGGTAGCTGTCCAGTGTCCCCAAAATTGCGGTGCTGGCTTAAATTTACACACAACGTGAGCTCGTTCAGGCAACAACCCACTGCACGAAGGACGAAGGACAAACGATATTCCTACGCTGGCCGAGCACAAATTAAGTTTGCAAGAAATCCTCATATCAGAACGGAAATCACTTCAAGATGTCAACCAATAAAAATAAAAATACTAGCGATTACTTTAAGTCAGAGCGCTAAATTAAGTTCTTGTGTTTCTGTTCATGAAATTTAAATCAAATCTGTGCAAGTATTTTTTGCAGTTTTCCCAGTGCATACACATAAAAATCCATTGAATAACTTTATGGCTGCGTTTTTCTATTTTGATTGTGTGATTTTGATTGGGTTACTGCAGTTGAATATTGTCATTTGAGTTTTGTGTGACACGCTGTCAAAGTTCAGCATTGAAGAGAAACTGACACTCGAAGCAAAAATTTCTCTACTTGGCCTCAGAGTTAAGGTATTTGTATAAATAATATTATTGATTAATATTGCATTAGGTTTGTGAACGTACGAAATGATTTTAACCACAATTGATTGTAGTAGACACTTAATATTCGATTTATTAGTAACATAAAATGGATTTACTTTGAAATTTCAGCATTAAAATTGCATATTTTGTTGATATATTTCCAAAAGTTATGCTGTCAACATTTGCCACAAAGACTACAAAGACGAGTACTCGCAACTAATTGATATATATATTTCGGACATGACGAACACAGAATTTGCTATCGCTCCGTCTGCGTATATGTGTTGGGCGAGAGTGTTTTTGTGTCCAAGTGCTTGTGCGCTTGTCAGACCATTAAGTTTTTTAATTTCTATGCTGGCTGGCTGGCTGACACGTGGCGTCAATGAGTCGAGTGGCATTCACTGTTGGCTACCAGCTATTTCAAAAATATATTTATATATATATATATATATATATATATATATATGGACTTCAACAACTACAACGAGGCGACAATAAACAAATTGTGTTTTGGTGTGTGCTGCTCGCTGTTTGCTTTTAATTACGCAATCGTTTTATATACAATTTCTAAGGTGTGTCGTATAATAAAGCTTTTAATTAAAAAAACAAAAAACAAAAAACCTGAGCATCAAAACGGAATCAGAAGCGGACTAAAAATGTGTCGATAAAAGTGTTGCATACTCGCAGGCGCGTGCCAAACTGCAAAGTTGCTGGCGCCCGCCTGAAAAAGGAAGAGCAGCGAAAATAAGAAAATAACTTAGATGAAAACTTGCAGCGAAACTTTGCTGGCAAGGACGAGCAGAACTGCTGAGCAGCTATTTCTGATAATGGGTGACTTTTTAATCGAAGGCTTATCGCAAAGTCATCACAAAAGTCGTTCAGGGTCGTGCGGGTGCTGTGTGGCACGTGACACGCGTGACACGCCTGCGCTGCCCGATTAATGCTCAATTGAAATTTACATTTGTATGCACAGCAGCGCAACAACAACTAAAACAAATAAAACAACAACGACAACAACTACAACAACCAACTTGACAGCCATAAATTGGGCTGACCCGTTGACGTTGTCGCTGCGCAGTTATCAAAATTGCTTAGCGGCGCCTCGTTCGTTGCGTGTTTCCAAGATAAGCGTTCGAAGTGTTCATAATGTCCTTGCTGTTCTTTGTGTATCTTTTTTTTGTAATTTTTTGTTTTGGTTTTCTATTTTGGGGTTTTTTTTCTGATTCATTTTTGGGCCATCGCACCAGACGCAAATGGTCCAACAGTGACCATTTAGACAACTCAATAAAATGCAATGGCCTTTAGGCCAAGCTGCGAGCACTGTCCTTGAATAATGTTCAACCATGTTTTAATAGGCTTACGCATCTTAGTTGTAGTTTTCAGCCATGTCAAGGTCCAAATTGCATTTCATGCATAGCATTGGCTTCTGCATCATATTGTCTTGCTTTAAATGTTACACCAATTTATAATTGACGACCTTCTCCTATATATCTATCAAAATAAATCATTTTATTAAGAACTGAAATTTACTAGAGCAGTTATGTCATTAATGATAGAAACCACTATTATTATTAGCAGAGCCGCAGGTATGATAGTTAATATTTATAAATAAAAAATCGGGATATATTATAAATTGAATCTATTGAGTAAGTGAGACTGCTCAAGTCGAGAGTGACCGATTATAAATTACTTTGTACTTATTTATAATCAATGGTTTCAATAGATAGATAGATAGATAGATAGATAGATAGTCGAATATACTTGGCCAGAGTTTGCAAAATTGTATATACCTCTGTTATAGGGATTTAAATATTTTATTGTATTATTATATTTTTAATGCATAGTTCAACAGTACTCTATTGACCAAAGATGCAAGTCTATTAACAAATGGCAATTATTAGCCCCGATTTGATGAAAGTCTTATCGCTGCAGAATGCAATATGAGAACTTTGTCAATTCTGTTTCTGCCAGTGGCAGAAAATAAGCAGCTGCATTGGTTCATATTGGGAGTGTGGGTCAACGCCAAAATTAGCTGTTATTCGTGCCAGATCTGCTTCTACTTTTTGCTCTTAGTTTGCTTGTTGTTTTGGATTTTGAGTCAATGCCATTGGAAACGTGACTTTTCCTGGCGCTGGCCGATGTTATTTTTACAGGAGCAGATGCCTGGCACTGCTAGATTCTTCGATTGTTGTTGTTGGTGCCTGGCCACAATGCATAACTTGTAATAATGCGCCTGACCCCGACACCCTGGCACCCTGGCACACACACACACTAACACACAAGCAATCCCACAATCCCAGAGCCCCATTCAAACATACACACTCACACACACACACACACACACACAGCTACAAACGTGTATACATGCAGATGCACTTAGGAGTCAAGCGGCGATGGTAACTTGTTAGCATCACAAGTAAAATGCTGTTGAAAATGCACTCAAAATTGCCATGTAAATGGAAATGGAAATGAAATGTCAACTTACCACACGGTGAGCATCGACGGCAGCTTCTTGGACCGAGTTGTGCTTCGGCGTTGTTGTCGTTCTGTGTATTGTGTGAGTGTGTGTATGTGTGTATGTGTGTGCGTGTGTGCGTGTGTGCGCGTGTGTGTGTAATGTTGTTGCACTTTCTCCACAAAAAAGAAAGGAACTTGAAACAACAAAGTTCTGGTATTGTTGTTTACGTTGCTCTTTTTTGGAAAATGCTTGGCAGTTGGCAGTTGATCTCGATGCAAATGTTTTTATTTCTTTATATGCTATCAGTAATTATTTTGGCAGTAAACGTTCTCGAGTTGGCAGTGAGAAGTCGGTGGTTTCTTAACCTTGTCAG